TCAGTATCAGCAGCAGCTGAATCTGGACGCCAGTTCCGACTTACATACAGATTCAACTTAAGAACAAACCTACAGTCCTTATCTCGTACGTAACCCGGGGACTGCCTGTACAACATTTGTGAAGCAATATACAAAAGGATGAAGTAGTCAATGTTAGTGAAATTAAGTGCCACCAATTTTGGAACTGCTGCTATACAGCACGTCAATCAGCAGCAGCTGAATCTGGACGCCAGTTCCGACTTACATACAGATTCAACTTAAGAACAAACCTACAGTCCTTATCTCGTACGTAACCCGGGGACTGCCTGTACAACATTTGTGAAGCAATATACAAAAGGATGAAGTAGTCAATGTTAGTGAAATTAAGTGCCACCAATTTTGGAACTGCTGCTATACAGCACGTCAGTGTCAGCATAACAACTTACTTAGAGACTAACTAAAGCTGTATAAAAGGAAAAACAGAAACAAAGTATACATAATTTTTATTAAAAAAAATTACCTGTTGTAAGTCAACAATGTTTACTCGACCTTTGAAAAAAATACAAATACGAATTCAGTACATAAAATAGCCTTGAACGGGTTTATAATATAGAACAACCAATCAATATTATTTAGTGATCACAAGACGTATCATAGTGATAATATTTAAAACTGATATCTGTTTAACCACACACTTGGAGGCACAGTTCCTTATGACAGCCTAGTCTATGTCCCTAAATACAATGTTAACACAGAATCTCTACAAGTTAAAGAATTTGTTGAGAGATTTTTTTCTCGTTTACCTCTCTGCTGAAATTGTCAGGTATGGCACTAACAAAATATAAAGAAATGGATACATACCCTATATGCACTAACTGTGGCTCTTCAAGATGTGTGTCCATATAGATGCTCCACTTTCGGGTGCACTTGCAACCACTGCACCTTTGATCAGCAATTTTTCATAGCAGAATCCATTTGGGCCGCAGATGCATGTTGCTCAGGCTCATGACTCTCAATGTTGCTATATAGAATGGTGCAGACTAACCTTTATGAAACCTTATGACAGAGGGGAAGGAGACCAGGAACACAAACCTCAAAGAGCCAAAGTTACTGCACAGGATGAATAACCATTTTTTTTTCCAAGTAATGTCCCTATGGATGCTCCACTCAAAAGAGAACTGCTTGGTGGTCGACTAAAGGATGAGGGAACTTCAGAATCTAGTCCAGTATGGAAGAAAATATAGCTAAGACAAACATTTATCAGAAGAAGAATCACAAGTTATTATGGCAAATGATGCATAGAAGTCCTCGTTGAGCCTTAATGTATTCTAATGATAGGAAATGTCTTCATAGATTGACGAAGTGTACATAGATTTTTGTAGAATGAGCTCATATATCAGCAGGTGTTTTGAGGTTGAGATGGCTAGCAGAATACAATCACTTATCCATGCAGAGCGCCTCTGTTTACAGTGTGCAGCTCCTTTTGTTCAGTCTGTAGTCAAGACAAAATCTGGAATTCTTCCTGAGAGGTTTAATCCCACGTAGGTAGAAGGTAAGAACCCCCCTGACATCAAGCATGGAATAATGCCTCCTCCTTATTCTGGTGAGGTTCAGGGTGGAAGATGGACAGGCAAATGAGCTTATTAATATGGAAATAAAGAGGCACTTTTGGCAAAATCTTGGATCTGATGACTTTGTCTCTGAATAATGTTGTGAAGGGGGATATGCCGTGAGATGCCCTATCTCCTACACTCATCAACCATCTGATGGCAACCAGAAATTTCATTTCATCAATAAATGGATGAGTGCACAGGCAGCCATATTTTCTTGTAAGGTATTTAAAAACCAAAAGGAAGTCATAAACCAAAGTATGGTTTTTAACTGGCAGAGAAAAGTTGGAGAGGTTTTTGAGGAACCTCGATGTCTGGGATTGGTCCTGCCTTGAGTAGGGGGCTGGACTTGATGACCTCCTGAGGTTCCTTGAGTTCTATGAGTCTATGTCATAGGAAGGGCAAATAGACTAGCTATCTATTGGGTAATGGAAGGATGCCAGGTGAACTCTGATGGAACTCAGTGATAACTCTAAGCTCTTTAGTTCTACAATGTAGCTAAATATGTCCGGCAGCAATGAGATTCCTGGTGCAATGTGTATGAGATCACCCCAGTGGGCAAGTGAAGTGCATCATGTGGAATGTTTTCTTCTGCATAGGAGCACTTTTTTCTACTTGCTCTGAAAAGGCAATTTCCATATGCATGAATCATCAAGCAGGAGAAGGATTCTGAACTTGGAGTGAAGGATCTTCCTAATCTCCTGGGAGAGGAGGTGAGGAACAGCATAGAAAATGATTGGTGAGAACACCATCACCTGTACCAGTAAGGAAACCATGTTTACCTGGTGTCCTTTCTTATTTTCAGGAAACACTGGATATCAGAGACACTAGGGGGAATGCATACAGAAGACCCAGAAACCACTAGAGAGGAAAGGTATCCCCAGAGACTGGTTACACATCCAGGCTCTGAAGCAACACTGGTGAAAAGGGTCTATCTGAGCAGTACCCCATTGCCAAAATATGTGGAGACATACAATGGAATCTGCAACTCATGGTCTTAAGAAAAGTGCCTGTCCAATACATCCACAGTTATGATCAGAATTCCCAAAGGTAAACTGCTGTGATGACAATCTGACTAAATCTAATCCAATACCATAGCCTTATAACCTTGGAAAATCTTGCTCCTCACTGCCAATATATTTATAAAACATGCATGATATGCTGTCCATCATTATGTCTCTGCCTCTGATTAATGGCAGGAATTGGACAGACATATCTGAATACCAGGCTGACGTACAGCTTGGCTTCTTGGGATGTCCAACTATCCTGAGCTGTGTGGGTTTCTAGCTGTGCTCCCCATCTCCACAGAA